ATGGCTCTCCGAGGGGTAGCGGCGCCCCTAGCGGCCCTACCAGGGGCATTGGAGACCCCAGGGGCCCACCAAGGGCCGTCGGCGACCCCAGGAGCGTTCCCAGTAGCAGCTGCGACCCAAGGGGCCCTCTCAGGGGCGGCAGCGCCACCAGTGGCCCTCCCAGGGAAATCGGTAATCCCACGGGCCGTGCCAGGGGCCATAAAATGGGCGGCAGCGACTCTAGGGCCTCTTCCAAGGGCGGCGGCACCCCCCAGAGGTCCTCACGGAAGCGGAAGTGCCTATAGGGGCCCTCTCCGGGGCGGCGGTGCCGCCAGGAGCATCCCCAGTGGCATCGGTGCCCCCATGGGTACTCCCAGAAGAGGTGTTGCCCCCTGGGGCCCTCTCAGGGACGTAGTCGACAACAGGGGCCTTCCTAGGGGCGTCTGAGACCCCAGGGGCCCTCCCAGTGGCAGCGGCGATCCCAGGGGCCTAAGTAGGGGCTTTCCCAGGGGCCTAAGTAGGGGCTTTCCCAGGGGCGGCGGCACCCCCAGGGGTCCTCCCGGTGCGGCAGTGCCCCCAGAGGCCCTCCCAGGGGCGGGGACGCCCCCAGGGGCCCTCACAGGTACGATTGCACCACCAGGGGCTATTCCATAGGCCATCTTAAGGGCGTCGTAGACCCCAGGGGCCCTCCCAGAGGCGGCAGCGACCTCATGAGCCCTCCCAGGGACGTCGGCAACCCAAGAGGATTTTCCAGAGGAAGCGGCGACCCCAGGGGCCTTCGCAGGGTCCTTCCCTGGGGAGGTGGGGCCCCCAAACGACCTCTAAGGAGCAGGGCAGCCCAGGGGCCCTTTGAGGGGCAGTGGCGCCCCTAGAGGCCCTGCTCGGAGCGTTGTGGACCCCAGGGGCCCTCCCAGGAGCTGTCGGTGCCCCTAGGGACTTATGGACATATTACTTTTTACTTTTACTTTTATCCTCTTCACGAGTCACGGGTTCGATTCCCGGGCCGGTGGAAGTTGTTTGGACATACTTCCTAGCCCCCATTAGTCCCTGTTCACCTAGCAGTAAGTAGGTACCTGGTGTAAATCGAAAGTTGCGAATTCGTATTCAGGGACAAGTTGTTGGAGCTTCCAATAACTTGATGACATTAACCATTGACTCTTCAGGCTTCTATGCCCTTGACTCTTCAGGCTTCTACGCCCTTAACTCATGAGACATAAAGGCAAGCATGAACTTAGCATGCTTCCCTGTTGGGCACTGTAAACGCTTCTGCGCTTCACCTTACATAAGGACGTAGGGGAGTGCCCAATAAATAATAAAAAAAAAATCCTCTTCACGACTGATCGGCTCGTTAGCCGCTTGGGCGATCGGTAAGTTCTGGTAATTAATCCTGCGTCGGTGTCATATTTTTCTCAACAACATTATTTTGTCATGCTTTGCACATCAAATACCAATAAGTTATATACAACAAAATAATGATCCTGGGGCAATATACAACAATACATCTTAAATAATTGGTCATTAAAAAAAATCAACTCTTCACGGTACAGTTACCTCATATCACACACGGGAA